GCGACATCGCGGCATCCAAGCCTAGCGGGGCAGAAGAAATGATTCAAACGCTGCCCAACGGCAAGCAGCGGTCTGTCTGGTACCGGACGCTGGATGCGAGGCGCGAGGTCCCCATCCCCAACGTGAAGAAGGCCTGGGAAGAGCGGATCAGCAACCCGGACGGCTCCTCGTACATTCTGTACAAGCCTAAGAAGGACTGGAAACTGTGGTATGAGGAGAGTTCTTCCGATTCCGACGACAACATCCAGGAGCTTCGCATCAGGGGAAGGAAGGTGGAGATGGAGAAGCTGCTGTCGGATTTGGTGGCGCAGAAGCTTAGCTTTACTGTGCCGCCGCGGGCCGTGATCGAGGTGAACGATCAGCCGTCCGGACAGCGGTCGGTGATTATTCACGGTGACGACACGGCACCGCCACCGCCTGGTGCGCGCGTGACAGTTGAAGAGCTCCCCAATGCCAAGAGTAGGACAACCTGGTCCATGACCATGCCGGGACGCGACATCTCGCTGCCCAACGTTCGGAAGGCGACAGAGGAGATGGTGAAAAACCCTGACGGCTCTATGTCTGTCTTCTACCGACCGAAGAAGCAGTGGAAGTTCAAGGAGGAGTCGAGCGACTCGGAGGAAGATGTCAAGGTATCGACAAAGGGGAAGAAAGTGCAAATGGATTTGCTGCTCTCGGACCTGTTTGTCGATAAACCCGATTTCAAGATACCCAGCAACGCCCACGTGGAAGTACACAACAAGCCTTCCGGAAACCGAGAAGTGGTAATAAAATCCGACATGAGCGAGTTTCAGTCGCCTGTGCCCCCCGGAGCCAAGATCCATGCGGAGCGGCAGCCCGACGGCAAGGAGCGGCAGATCTGGGTGAAGACCATCAGTGCCAAACCCCATGTGCCGTTGCCGAACGTGCGGAAGGCCCACGAGGAGATGCGAAAGACATCCGACGGTGGCAGCGTTGTAGTGTACCGTCCCAAGACGCAGTGGCGTTTTCCGTGGCTTACGGAGGCCACCTCTTCCGAAAGCGAAGATGAGAAGGACAAGAATAAGGAAAAGAAATGGAAGATCGATGACATGATCGTGGCCTTACTGCCAGGAAAAAAGGTAAGCATTCCTAAGAAGGCTGAGATTGAGCTTCATGAGCTTCCCAACGGCAAGCGTAAGTTCTTGATAATAAATGACATCACGAAAGAACTGGACGCATCGGTACCCCGTGGAGCGGAGATCGTCAACGAGAAAGTAGGCAAGAAGGACAGAAGAGTTTGGGTGCAATCCTTCGACGCCAATCCCCAAGTCAAGCTGCCAAACCTGGAGAAGGCTACTGAGGAGGTGTTTACCCTTCCGGACGGAACAAAGAAAACCATTTACAAACCGAAGAAGGGCTGGAAAACGCGATTTGCCTACCACTCGTCCTCCTCAAGCTCAGACTCCGATGCGGACGTGGAAAAGGTGAAAAAGCCGAAGAGGACGACAAAGTTGAAGGGTGGAAAGGTCCGCATGGATCACCTGCTGATGGATTTGTGTCCGCCCATGCCGAACTTCGAAATCCCAGCGAAAGCCGATATTGAGGTACATGATCGGAATGGTCATAGGCAACTAGTCGTACTGCATGATATTACTTACGAGCCGGAGCCTAGAATACCCAAGGGCGCGGAGGTGAAACGTCAAACGTTGTCGGATGGCACCACCAAGAAGTGGTGGGTAAAGACTGCGCCTGCAAACGCCAGCGTCCCTCTGCCGAACGTTCGCAAGGCGTACGAAACGCAGACCACTCCCGCTGAAGGTGCAGTGGTGACTCTTTACCGACCAAAGAAACGCTGGAATCTTAAGTGGGGCGCTGCAGGCTCTAGCTCCTCCGACTCCGAGGATGAGGCCAAGCCGAGGCAACCCAGAGTGGGCGCCAAAATCAAAGGTCAAAAGGTTAACATGGACCACCTTTTGATGGACCTGGTTCCGCCAATGCCAGATTTTGATATTCCTGACAAGGCCACGATCACGGTGCACGACCAGCCCAATCGCACGCGCCGGATCCAGGTGGAGCACGACGTGACGTACGAGCCGATGGCGACCATCCCGGCTGGTGCCGAGGTCACGACGGAGACTCTGCCTGACGGCAAGCATCGGAAAATCTGGAGTAAGACCGTGACCGCTAATGCAAAGGTGGCCCTTCCCAACGTTCGCAAGGCGTACGAGGAGCGCGCCACACTGCCAGATGGCTCTGTGCACACCAAGTACATTCCGAAAAAGAGGTGGAAGCTGAAGTGGGGCGTACATTCGAGCTCCAGTTCCAGTGAATCGGACTCGGGACACCCTGAAAAGCCGAAGAAAAGGACCAGAATAAAGGGCAAGAAGGTCAAAATGGATGAGCTGCTCATGAAGCTGTGTCCTCCCAGGCCTGATTTTGAGATCCCGGCGCACGCCGATGTGGAAGTCCACGATATGCCGAGTGGAGCACGAGCCGTGCACATCGTCAACGACATCACCTACACGCCCAAGGCTGCCGTTCCGGCTGGCGTTGAGGTGAAGTCCGTCAGCAGGCCAGACGGGAAGCCCCGGCGCTTCTGGGTGAAGACGCTCAGCGCCGATAAACATGTGCCTCTGGCAAATGTCACCAAGGCCTACGAGACGCAACATCGTCTCCCTGACGGGACCATGATAACGACCTACCGTCCGAAGAAGGGTTGGAAGCTTTTGTGGGGCGCTGAGCATCCGGCAACATCCAGCTCTTCAGAGTCTGAGGACGAGAAGAAGGTCAAAGTGAAGATGGTGAAGCTGCTGAGTGACCTGGTTCCCCCTAAACCGGACTTTGCCATTCCGCCACGGGCTGACATTGAGGTTCACGACCTGCCGAACGGAACTCGCCGTCTGGTGGTCGTCAATGACATCAGCACGGACGAGAAGGCAGCTGTGCCGCCGGGAGCGCGTGTCACCACGGAAACCATCGCTGGTGGACGTGAGAGGAAAGTCTGGATCAAGTCAGTAGACGCTAATGCCAGCGTCAAGTTGCCAAACGTGAAGAAGGCCACCGAAGAGCGCGTGACCCTGCCTGACGGCACTGTGAAGCTCATCTATCGGCCCAAGAAGCAGTGGAGGTTTGACAACGACGACACGTCGTCATCGGACTCTGAAGCCGACCACAGCCGAAAGGGGAAGAAGTTGAAGAAGGCCGGAACACTGGACAAGTTTAAGTCCTTCTTTGGCGGAAAGGGTGATGTCAACGGGTCGGCTGACGCCGATGCCTCGGTTCACCCCGAGATGACGAAGAAAAAGAGTAGTTTTTCACTGTTCGGAAAGAAAGACAAAAAAGCAAAGGTTCAACTCGATGACCTTCTTGTGCAGCTTGTTCCTAAAGCCACACTTAGCACGGTCCAGGTCCACCCCAACTCACAGTTCGAGTACGACGGGAAACACCTAGTGATTAAATCAGAGGTACCTGAGATCGAAGCGCCCCACATCCGTAAAGCCGAAAGCATTAAAATCAAGCCCATCGACGATGGAAAGCTTTTGGCTACTCAGGAGCTCGACGCACATCCCAACGTGGACATCCCAGAGATGGACGGAATCGTGGTGAAGACTGTGGCTATGCCCGATGGAAGCATCAAGAAAGTCTTGAAACCAAAGGCTGGCTTCAGGTGGCCCCAGTTTAAGCTGCCAAGCATTGACGTCCCGGAACTGGAAAGACGAGACGGCTCCCCCGAGGCCAAGCATGAATTCGGTGTTCGATTCCCATCCTTCGGCAAGGGCAAGTCGAAAGTGAAGGTCCCTAAAGTCGCTGCTCTGGGTGACATGCTTTTCCAAATCGTGCCGCCTGGAAAGCTTCCTAAACTGAACTTCAAGGAAGACTCCGCTGTGGACGTAGTAGATCTTTTGCCAGCCAAGAGGCGTGAAATCACCATACGCACTGAAGTTCCTGATGCCACCGTCCCGACACCGGGCATCGAAATGACGGTAGAGAAGACGCATCTTCCTGACGGATCTTTTAAGACGGTGTCGACCCAGAAACTGGACGGCATGTTCGATGTGGTGTTGCCGAAGGTGGACGGTTTCGATATGAACGTGGAAACGCACAAGAGTGGTGATGTCAGCACCAGTTACAGACCGAAAGCAGGTTTCAAGTGGCCTTCGCTTACTATGCCGTCTCTTTCGTTTGATTCGGATGTTAAGACCAGCCCAGACACGCAGAAGAAGGAATCGTTGTCATTGCACATGAAGAAGCCTACGTTTTCAGCGTCTGCGAAAGCGCCAAAGGTGGGGACCATCAGTGAACTACTGGCATCGCTGGTTCCCAGGGCCAGCCTGCCGTCCATTCGGTTCAACGATAGCTCGCGTGTGGACGTGCTGGAGCTACCCTCCGGGAAGCGTCAGCTGGTTATTACCACGGAGGTTCCGGAGGCCGAGTTGGGTGACCTGCCCGCCAGTGCGAAGGTCGAGGTGGAGACTCAACCTGACGGTACGAAAAGAAAGGTTTGGCGACAGTACTTTGACGTAGACTCAGACTACGACCTGCCGGAAGTGGAGGGCGCCGAACTGGTGGAAGTGAAACTGCCGGACGGTGGCGTTAAGAGGAGCTACAAGCCCAAAGGAGGTTTCCGGTGGCCAGAAATTCATCTCCCGAAATTTCACCTGCCTGACTGGGGCATTAAGTCTAGTAAGGAGCGGTCCCAAAGTCCAACAAAACATGAAGGAGGTGATCACTCATTTGGGATCAAGATGCCATCATTCGGCTTCAAGAAAGGACCGAAGATCCCTAAGCTGGATGGTATTGACTGGCCTACTGTCGTTTGTACTACCTGAAAGTGAGCTGCCCAAGGCAAAGGTCCGCGACAATTCGGAGATTGACTTGATCGATCTGCCGAAGCTTGCTGGTCGCGAAGTGGTGATCAGGACAGAGGTTCCCGAGCCCGACCTTCCAAAACTGCCCGCTGGTGCACAGGTGGCAGACGTCAGGCTGCCCAGTGGTGAAGTTGTTAAGGTCTGGAATCAAACTCTTCGCGGCAACGCTAACGTTCCTGTCCCGCATGTCAATGGCGCCGAAATGTCTGAGATCAAGCTCCCTGATGGCGCTGTCAAGACCACATTTAAACCGAAAGCGGGTTTTGCGTGGCCCAAAATATCACTACCTTCTCTGCAAATGCCCAACTGGGAGTTCAGTTCTGGAGCTCGCATGCCCAGCGCTCAAGCCAAGGCGAAGGGAGGACTGGGCTTCCGTATGCCATCCCTTGGACTGAAAGGAAAAGAATTGCAGGAATTTGACATCGGTGATCTGCTGTGCACGCTTATTCCCAAGTCAGAAATGCCGTCTGTGGATTTCCGTGACAACAGCACCGTCGACATCTTAGACCTGCCGGGAGGAAAGCGGCGGCTGGTGATCTCTACGGTGGTTTCGGAAGCAGAGATTCCCGACTTGCCCGCGAACGCCAAGATTGAAGTGCTTCCCGGTGGTCAACCGGGAAAGGTGTGGAAGCAAGAGTTCGACGTCGATGCCGACTTTGAGTTACCCGAAATCGAAGGAGCTGAGATGTGTCAAGTGGAGCTCCCTGGTGGCATCCATAAAAAGACCTTCAAGCCCATAGGCGGCCTCAAGTGGCCAGAGATGCATCTGCCGAAAATAACACTTCCAGATTGGCAGCTCAAATCAAGGGAAAGGTCACCTAGTCCGACCAAGAAGGACACGGATTTGTCCTTTGGCATGAAAATGCCATCATTTGGTTTTGGTACCAAAGGCCCCAAGGTGCCTAAGTTTGATGGTATCGATGGGATGCTCGAGTACCTCCTGCCGAAAGGCGATCTTCCCAAGCTCAGAATTCGTGACGACACTGAGGTAGATGTCATCGACTTGCCAGAGATGAAGGGGCGGGATGTTGTTGTGAAAACACAAATCCTGGATGTCGATCTTCCTAAGCTCCCTGGTGATCTGAAGGTGGAGAAAGTGGCGCTGCCCGACGGCAATATCGAAAACATTCTCATCCAGAAGTTCCAAGCCAACCCAGAGCTGGTGCTACCAAAGCTGTCTGGGGCTGACATTGACGACGTTAAGCTGCCCGACGGCTCCATCAAGACGTCATTCAGGCCTAAAGCGGGCTTCAAGTGGCCCAAAGTCACGCTACCATCCCTGCAGATGCCTGACTGGGAGTTTGGGTCCAGCAAAGGAGCAGGTAGTCCTGACAAGAAACACGACAAAGGCGATGGTGATTTCCACTTTGGCATGAAAATGCCCTCGTTCGGTTTCGGAAGCAAGGGGCCCAAGGTACCCAAATTTGATGGTCTCGATGGGATGCTTGAGTACCTACTCCCTCAGGCGGACCTCCCGAAGCTCAGAATCCGCGACAACACGGAGGTAGACGTCATTGACTTGCCAAAAATGAAGGGCAGAGACGTTGTGGTGAAGACCGAAATACCCGACGTCGATCTACCAAAGTTGCCAGCAAACCTGAAAGTGGAAAAGATGACACTACCTGACGGTGCCATCAAGAACATGCTGAACCAGAAGTTCCAGGCAAACGCAGAATTGCCTCTGCCAAAGCTGTCAGGGGCTGATGTTGACGAAGTGAAGATGCCAGATGGCTCCATCAAGACGTCGTTTAAGCCCAAGGCAGGGTTCAAATGGCCCAAGATCAGCCTGCCTTCCCTGCAGATGCCAGACTGGGAGTTTGGATCAAGGGAGAGATCTCCTAGCCCTGAAAAGAAGGTGGAAAGTTCTGATGGTGATTTCCACTTTGGTATGAAGATGCCCTCGTTCGGTTTTGGTAGCAAGGGACCAAAGATGCCCAAATTTGATGGTCTCGATGGAATGCTTGAGTACCTGCTCCCTAAGGCGGATCTCCCAAAGCTCCGAATCCGCGACAACACTGAGGTAGACGTCATTGACCTACCAAACATGAAGGGGAGAGACGTTGTGGTGAAGACCGAGATTCCCGACGTTGATCTGCCAAAGTTGCCAGCAGACCTGAAAGTGGAAAAGATGACACTACCCGACGGTTCAATGAAGAACATGCTGAACCAGAAATTCCAAGCAAACGCAGAATTGGCTCTGCCAAAGCTGTCAGGGGCTGATGTTGACGAAGTGAAGCTGCCTGATGGCTCCATCAAGACGTCATTTAAGCCCAAGGCAGGGTTCAAATGGCCTAAGATCAGCTTGCCTTCCCTGCAGATGCCAGACTGGGAGTTTGGATCAAGGGAAAGATCTCCCAGCCCTGAAAAGAAGGTGGAAAGCTCAGATGGTGATTTCCACTTTGGCATGAAAATGCCCTCGTTCGGTTTCGGAAGCAAGGGGCCCAAGGTACCCAAATTTGATGGTCTCGATGGGATGCTTGAGTACCTACTCCCTCAGGCGGATCTCCCGAAGCTGCGAATCCGCGACAACACTGAGGTAGACGTCATTGACCTGCCAAAAATGAAGGGAAGAGACGTTGTGGTGAAGACCGAAATACCCGACGTCGATCTGCCAAAGTTGCCAACAAACCTAAAAGTAGACAAGATCACACTACCTGACGGTTCAATCAAGAACATGTTGAACCAGAAATTCCAGGCAAACGCAGAATTGGCTCTGCCAAAGCTGTCAGGGGCTGATGTTGACGAAGTGAAGATGCCAGATGGCTCCATCAAGACGTCGTTTAAGCCCAAGGCAGGGTTCAAATGGCCCAAGATCAGCCTTCCGTCTCTGCAGATGCCAGACTGGGAGTTTGGATCTAGAGAAAGGTCTCCAAGCCCTGAAAAGAAGGTGGAAAGCTCAGATGGTGATTTCCACTTTGGCATGAAAATGCCCTCGTTCGGTTTCGGAAGCAAGGGGCCCAAGGTACCCAAATTTGATGGTCTCGATGGAATGCTTGAGTACCTGCTCCCTAAGGCGGATCTCCCAAAGCTCAGAATCCGCGACAACACTGAGGTAGACGTCATTGACCTACCAAACATGAAGGGGAGAGACGTTGTGGTGAAGACCGAGATTCCCGACGTTGATCTGCCAAAGTTGCCAGCAGACCTGAAAGTGGAAAAGATGACACTACCCGACGGTTCAATGAAGAACATGCTGAACCAGAAATTCCAAGCAAACGCAGAATTGGCTCTGCCAAAGCTGTCAGGGGCTGATGTTGACGAAGTGAAGCTACCAAATGGCTCCATCAAGACTTCGTTTAAGCCCAAGGCAGGGTTCAAATGGCCTAAGATCAGCCTGCCTTCCCTGCAGATGCCAGACTGGGAGTTTGGATCTCGGGAGAGGTCTCCAAGTCCTGAGAAGACCCGTGACAAGGATGATAGTGATTACCACTTTGGCATGAAGATGCCATCATTTGGCTTTGGCAGCAAGGGTCCCAAAGTGCCTAAGTTTGATGGCATCGATGGGATGCTCGATTACCTGCTCCCTCAAGCAGACCTCTCCAAGCTGAAAATCCGCGATAATACTGAGGTGGATGTCATTGACTTGCCAGATATGAAGGGACGGGATATTGTGGTCAAGACAGAAATCCCTGACGTCGATCTTCCGAAGCTATCGGCCGACCTGAAAGTGGATAAAGTGAAACTGCCAGATGGCAGCATCAGCAACTGCCTAAACCAAAAGTTCAACGCGAACCCGGAACTGCCTTTGCCAAAACTGTCCGGAGCCGACATCGAAGACATCAAACTGCCAGACGGTTCCATCAAGACTTCATTCAAGCCCAAGGCAGGTTTCAGATGGCCAAAGATCACGCTACCCTCCCTGCAGATGCCGGACTGGGAGTTTAGGTCTGGTGATACCTCACCGGAGAAAGGTCATGCTGGTTTTGGCTTGAACTTCCCAAAGCTGTCCATGAAAGGTGGGAAGCCCGCCAAGTTTGACGGCATTGCTGACCTGCTGGCGCACTTGATTCCGCGTGGTCAGTTGCCGGCCATCCAGTTCAAGGACACGTCGGTTGTGCATGTTATCGACCCACCGTCGGGCGGGCGCCAGGTTTGGATCGACACAGAGGTGCCGGACGCGGAGCTTCAGAACCTTCCGGCCGGCGCTGACATCCAGATGGAGCCGCTGCCTGACGGCTCGATGCACCGCATCTGGCGGCAGCATTTCGATGTCGACGCAGACTTCGAACTGCCGGAGGTAGAGCATGCCGACGTCAGCGTGCTGACTCTACCGGACGGCGGCGTCAAGAAGACGTATCAGCCCAAGGGCGGTTTCAAGTGGCCGGAGATCCACTTGCCGAAGTTCCACTTACCTGATTGGCACTTCCATCGCGGCGGGAGCAAGGAGCGGTCGCCGAGCCCCGAGCGAGGCCACGATGACCGCGATCACGGCTTCATGAAGATGCCGTCCTTTGGCTTCAAAAAGGGAATCAAGGTTCCAAAGCTGGATGGCATTGATGGACTTCTTGGATACTTGTTGCCCGAGTCGGAACTGCCCAAGGTAAGAATCCGAGACGATAGCGAGGTGGACGTGATCGACCTGCCGGACATGAAGGGGCGCGAGATTGTGGTCCGCTCCGACGTTCCTGATGCTGAAGTACCAAAGCTCGACGCGAATCTCAAGGTGGAGAGAGTCAGTCTGCCGGACGGTGGCGTGAAGAACACCCTTACGCAGTTATTCAATGCCGATGCCGAGATTCCGCTGCCAAAGCTAAGTGGTGCTGATATCGACGATGTGAAGCTGCCTGACGGCAGTGTGAAGACAACATTTAAGCCAAAGGCTGGCTTTAAGTGGCCCAAAATCACTTTGCCGTCGCTCCAGATGCCGGACTGGGAGTTCGGCTCCGGACGAGGCCGCTCGTATAGTCCCGAAAAAGAAGAACGCGCTGGATTTAGCATGAAAATGCCGAAGTTCTCGTCCAAGGGAAAGACGGCCAAAGTCAACAGCATTGGTAGCTTACTGGCTGCCCTCATTCCTAAAGCCACACTGCCGTCTGTTCAGTTCCGGGAGAACTCTACGGTGGACATCATGGACCTGCCAGATGGCAAGAGAAAGCTTACCATAAATACCGAGGTTCCTGAGGCCGATCTGGCTGGTCTGCCCGCGGGCGCAGACATTCAAGTGGACTCTTTGCCGGACGGATCTGTGCGGAGAGTGTGGCGTCAGTCATTTGATGTAGACGCTGACTTTGACCTACCGGAGGTGGAGGGTGCTGAGTTGGTCGAAGTCAGTCTGCCGGATGGCGGCGTGAAAAAGGTTTATAAACCACACGGTGGTTTCAAGTGGCCGGAGATTAGCATGCCCAAGTTTCATTTGCCAGACTGGGGACTCAGGTCCCGGCGGTCTCGCTCTCCCAGTCCTGAGGACCGCAAAAAGAAGGAAACTGGTGGCGCCTTCCACATGAAGCTTCCATCGTTCGGGTTCAAGAAGGGCAAGGTGGCAAAGGTCGACGGTATAGACGGACTGCTGGGCTACCTGCTTCCAGAGACGGAGCTGCCCAAGCTGCGACTCCGTAACGACTCTGAGGTAGATGTGCTGGATCCGCCAGACAGCGGCAGCCGTGACGTGATTGTGCGCACCCCGATTCCGGAAGTCGCGGTGGCTATGGTTGCCCCTCACGGGGAGCTGCTCGACGCCACTCTGCCCGACGGCGCGGCTGGAAAGGTCCTGCTGCAAAAGTTTAAGACCAACGCGGATTTGGCTCTTCCTAAAGTCAGTGGCGCTGACATCGACGATGTCACTCTGCATGACGGCTCTCTAAAAACGACATTTAAACCCAAGGCTGGCTTCAAGTGGCCGGCAATCACAATGCCGTCCCTGCAGTTGCCCGACTGGGACTTTGGCACGGGAGCTGACACGCCCAAACTGGAGAAAAAGGGACGCTCTCTGGACCGGCACATGCAAATGCCTAAGTTTGGGATAAAGGGCAAGGGCAAGACACCTAAGCTTGATAGCATCGCTGACCTACTGGCCGGGATAATTCCGTCCTCAAAGCTGCCCGAGGTTCAGTTCAGGGACAATTCTGTGATCGAGATCACCGATTTGCCAGGGGGAGCCGGAAGACACATCTGCATCAACACTGAGGTTCCTGAGGCGGACTTGCCGTCACTGCCGGCTAACGCTGAGGTGGTAACCGTGGATCTCCCCGACGGCAAGAAAAAGCACACTTGGGTGCAGAGATTTGATGGTGACGTGGGCTTTGAGCTGCCTGAAGTGGATGGCGCCGAAATTGACGTGGAAAATCTGCCGGATGGTTCCATCAGAAAGACATACCGACCGAAGCTTGGCTTCAAGTGGCCGGAGATATCCTTGCCCAAATTCCATTTGCCTGACTGGACTTTCAAAGCGAAGGCCTCGTCGCCGCGAAAGCAGAAGCGGAAGGACAAGCGGCGGTCCATGACCTTGCCGGGTTACGGCATCTCACTGAGGTCCAAGGGGCGTATCGACGGTGTCGGTGACCTGCTCTCAGCCTTGATCGTCAAGCCTCAACTGCCGGCGGTGCAGTTCCGTGAGAACTCGGAGGTGGACGTTTTGGAGCTGCCGCCTGACCGTAAAAAGCGACAGGTCAAGATTCGCACCGAAGTCTCGTCATCAGAGATACCCAAGCTGCCGTCTGGCGCCGTTGTCGAAGACGTTACCGTTCCGAACGGCAAAATCAAGCACGTCTGGACACAGACCTTCGACGCTATCAAGGACGTCGAGCTGGTGGACTTCGACGACGTCGGCATCACAGACGTGACCCTTCCCGACACAACGTGGCAGCGCACGTACCGGCCGTTGAAGGGCAAGTGGCCGTCGGTGCACATGCCGGACATCAGCTTCAAGGCGCGCTCAAAGAGCGAGACATCTCTGGACCGAATGCGCCAGCCGCGGCGCACGATTGGGGATCGGATCCGCGACTTCTTTGGCCTACGTGGACGCTCGCACACGCCGCGCGGCGGCCGGATGGACCTGTCGGCCCCCGACCTAACGGTCGACGTGGACGCCAGCCGCCGCTCGCGCGCCAGCAGCACCGAGAGTGTGGATGGACGCACCGAGTCCACCTCCAAGGGTGGTACATTGAGGCGGCTTCGAGGCATGTTCCACGTGGAGGGCAAGAAAAAGGTGAAGACGCCCTCCATGGATATCAGCATGGAAGGACCCGAAGCCAATCTGAGTCTGCGATCCCGTGAGCGGTCGCGCTCCAGCAGCGAAAGCACCGAGCGGTCAGCCCGTGTCAAGGGCAAGGTGAAAACACCAAAGATGAAGACCAAAGGGGGCCTGTCCTTCAAAAACCTGTTCGGGAAAAAAGATGGTGATTTCGATGTGGACGCCCCCTCTGCTGACATAAGCATTGATGGCGAAAAGAAAAAGAAAAAGAAGAGGACTCCCAGTTTCAAGGGTATGTTCGGAAAGAAAGACGCAAAGGTGAACATTAAGTGGCCCCATGGTGAACCGAAGGGAATTTGGAAACTCTTGACTGGTTTCATTCCATCAGCAGATATTCCTAACGTACATCTTGCTGACAACTCTAAAGTGAAACTTGTCGATAGTGCCGACAAGAAGAAAAGAAAGATGATCATCGATACCGATTTGGACGCAAACTTTTCTGGTGATACATCCGTGTTTGCGGACTATGACGAGGCTGTTTTACCGGATGGCAGTGTCAAGAGGCACGGCCGGCAGACTTTTGATGTCGATGCCTCACTCGAGGTTCCAAACATAGACGGCATTGATGTCAAGATGGACACGGAGGCCGATGGCTCCACTGTTCGAACCTTTGCCCCGCATTCGGGTTTCAAGTGGCCAGACTTCGCTCTTCCTTCGTTTGAATTCCCAGACATCAAGATGCCAAAATTCGGTATCAAGGGCAAGTCCAAGCGGCCCGTCGCCCAAAGCTTACCCGAGCTACTAGCAGGTCTCCTACCGAAAGACAAACTGCCTGACATTCACTTCCGAGACCACTCGACCCTAGACATGCTTGATCTGCCTGATGGAACCAGAAAGCTTGTCATCAACACTGAAGTGTCTGAGGCGGAGCTGAACGGCCTGCCGGCGGGAGCCGACATTCAACTGGAGAAATCGCCGGATGGCCCACCACGCCGGATCTGGAGGCAGACGTTCGACGTGGACGCTGATTATGACCTACCTGACATCGAAGAAGCCGAAATCGAAGAGAGGTCGCTGCCTGACGGCAGTATCAAAAGAACGATCAAACCCAAGTCTGGTTTCAAGTGGCCCGAGATACACCTGCCCAAATTCCATCTACCCGACTGGGAGTTCAGATCTGGACGAGATCGTTCACCCAGCCCAGCGAAGAAAGAGAAGGGCGACCATTCGTTTAGCATGAAAATGCCCTCATTTGGCTTCGGAAAGGGTCCTAAAGTGCCCAAATTCGAGGGCATCGATCTCATGCTTGGGTACCTACTTCCAGAAGCAGAGCTTTCAAAGCTAAGGATTCGCAACAACACTGAGGTAGATGTCATTGACCTGCCTGACATGAAAGGAAGAGATGTTGTGGTCAAAACGGACATCCCGGAAGTTGATCTCCCGAAGCTGTCGTCGGACTTAAAAGTGGAAAAGGTGACGCTGCCAGATGGCTCCGTCAAAAACACATTGAACCAAAAGTTCAAGGCCAACCCAGAATTGGCTCTTCCAAAGCTACATGGAGCGGACATTGACGAGATCGGTCTCCCGGACGGCACCACGAAAACTTCATTCAAACCCAAGGCAGGCTTCAAGTGGCCGAAAATCACTCTACCTTCCCTGCAAATGCCAAACTGGGAGTTTGAATCCAAGGGAAGGTCGCCAAGTCCTGAAAAGAAACGAGGCAAAGGCGATGGAGACTTCCACTTCGGCATGAAAATGCCCTCGTTCGGTTTTGGTAGCAAGGGACCAAAGGTACCCAAATTCGATGGCATTGACGGAATGCTGGAGTACTTGCTCCCAGAAGGCGATATTCCCAAACTTAGAATTCGTGACAATACGGAAGTGGACGTGACGGATTTGCCGGACATGAAGGGTAGAGGTGTTTTAGTGAGGACCGAGATCCCAGACATCGACCTACCGAAGCTGCCGACTGACCTGAAGGTGGATGCGGTGACACTCCCGGACGGGTCCATCAAAAATACCATCAATCAGAAGTTCCAAGCCAACCCCGAATTGCCCTTACCAAAGCTGTCGGGAGCGGACATTGACGACATTAAATTGCCCGATGGATCTATCAAGACAACATTCAAGCCAAAAGCCGGCTTCAAATGGCCTCAGATTACTCTACCTTCCCTGCAGCTGCCGGATTGGGAGTTCGGCTCAGGACGTCGTTCACCGAGTCCTGCAAGAAAGCATGACGAAGGTGATGGCGACTTCCACTTTGGCATGAAAATGCCTTCGTTTGGTTTTGGTGGTAAGGGACCCAAAGTACCCAAATTTGATGGTCTCGATGGGATGCTTGAGTACCTGCTCCCTAAGGCGGATCTCCCGAAGCTCAGAATCCGCGACAACACTGAGGTAGACGTCATTGACCTGCCAAACATGAAGGGGAGAGACGTTATGGTGAAGACCGAAATACCCGACGTGGATCTGCCGAAGTTGTCGGCAGACCTGAAAGTAGACAAGATGACACTACCTGACGGTTCCATCAAGAACATGCTGAACCAGAAATTCCAGGCAAACGCAGAATTGGCTCTGCCAAAGCTGTCTGGGGCTGACATTGACGAAGTGAAGATGCCAGATGGCTCCATCCAGACGTCGTTTAAGCCCAAGGCAGGGTTCAAATGGCCTAAGATCAGCCTGCCTTCCCTGCAGATGCCAGACTGGGAGTTTGGATCTAGGGAGAGATCGCCAAGTCCTGAAAGGAAGGAAGAAACGTCAGATGGTGATTTCCACTTTGGCATCAAAATGCCTTCCTTCGGTTTTGGTAGCAAGGGGCCGAAGGTACCCAAATTTGATGGTCTCGATGGGATGCTTGAGTACCTCCTCCCTGAGGCGGATCTCCCGAAGCTCAGAATCCGCGACAACACTGAGGTAGACGTCATTGACCTGCCAAACATGAAGGGGAGAGACGTTATGGTGAAGACCGAAATTCCCGACGTGGATCTGCCGAAGTTGTCGGCAGACCTCAAAGTAGACAAGATGACACTACCTGACGGTTCCATCAAGAACATGCTGAACCAGAAATTCCAGGCAAACGCAGAATTGGCTCTGCCAAAGCTGTCTGGGGCTGACATTGACGAAATGAAGATGCCAGATGGCTCCATCAAGACGTCGTTCAAGCCCAAGGCAGGGTTCAAATGGCCCAAGATCAGCCTTCCGTCTCTGCAGATGCCAGACTGGGAGTTTGGATCAAGGGAGAGATCTCCTAGCCCTGAAAAGAAGGTGGAAAGTTCAGATGGTGATTTCCATTTTGGCATGAAGATGCCCTCGTTCGGTTTCGGTAGCAAGGGACCAAAGATACCTAAATTTGATGGTCTCGATGGGATGCTTGAGTACCTGCTCCCTGAGGCGGATCTCCCGAAGCTCCGAATCCGCGACAACACTGAGGTAGACGTCATTGACCTGCCAAACATGAAGGGCAGAGACGTTGTGGTGAAGACCGAGATACCCGACGTCGATTTGCCAAAATTGCCAGCAAACCTGAAAGTGGAAAAACTGACGCTACCTGACGGTTCAATCAAGAACATGCTGAACCAGAAATTCCAAGCAAACGCAGAATTGGCTCTGCCAAAGCTGTCGGGGGCAGATGTTGACGAAGTGAAGCTGCCAGATGGCTCCATCAAGACGTCATTTAAGCCCAAGGCAGGGTTCAAATGGCCTAAGATCAGCCTGCCTTCCCTGCAGCTGCCAGACTGGGAGTTTGGATCAAGGGAGAGATCTCCAAGTCCTGAAAAGAAGGTGGAAAGTTCAGATGGTGATTTCCACTTTGGTATGAAGATGCCCTCGTTCGGTTTCGGTAGCAAGGGGCCAAAGGTACCCAAATTTGATGGTCTCGATGGGATGCTTGAGTACCTCCTCCCTGAGGCGGATCTCCCGAAGCTCAGAATCCGCGACAACACTGAGGTAGACGTCATTGACCTGCCAAACATGAAAGGAAGAGACGTTGTTGTGAAGACCGAAATTCCTGATGTCGATCTGCCAAAGTTGGCAGCAAACCTGAAAGTAGACAAGATGACACTACCTGACGGTTCTGTGAAGAACATGCTGAACCAAAAATTCCAGGGAAATGCGGAATTGCCTCTGCCAAAGTTGTCAGCGGCTGACATTGACGAAGTGAAGCTGCCAGATGGCTCCATCAAGACGTCGTTCAAGCCCAAGGCAGGGTTCAAATGGCCTAAGATCAGCCTTCCTTCCCTGCAGATGCCAGACTGGGAGTTTGGATCAAGGGAAAGATCTCCCAGCCCTGAAAAGAAGGTGGAAAGCTCAGATGGTGATTTCCACTTTGGTATGAAAATGCCCTCGTTCGGTTTCGGTAGCAAGGGACCAAAGGTACCCAAATTTGATGGTCTCGATGGAATGCTTGAGTACCTGCTCCCTAAGGCGGATCTCCCGAAGCTCAGAATCCGCGACAACACTGAGGTAGATGTCATCGACCTGCCAAACATGAAGGGGAGAGACGTTGTAGTGAAGACCGAAATTCCCGACGTGGATCTGCCGAAGTTGTCGGCAGACCTCAAAGTAGACAAGATGACACTACCTGACGGTTCCATCAAGAACATGCTGAACCAGAAATTCCAGGCAAACGCAGAATTGGCTCTGCCAAAGCTGTCTGGGGCTGACATTGACGAAGTGAAGATGCCAGATGGCTCCATCAAGACGTCGTTTAAGCCCAAGGCAGGGTTCAAATGGCCTAAGATCAGCCTGCCTTCCCTGCAGATGCCAGACTGGGAGTTTGGATCTAGGGAGAGATCGCCAAGTCCTGAAAGGAAGGAAGAAACGTCAGATGGTGATTTCCACTTTGGCATCAAAATGCCTTCCTTCGGTTTTGGTAGCAAGGGGCCGAAGGTACCCAAATTTGATGGTCTCGATGGGATGCTTGAGTACCTCCTCCCTGAGGCGGATCTCCCGAAGCTCAGAATCCGCGACAACACGGAGGTAGACGTCATTGACCTGCCAAACATGAAGGGGAGAGACGTTGTTGTGAAGACCGAAATACCCGACGTCGATTTGCCAAAATTGCCAGCAAACCTGAAAGTGGAAAAACTGACGCTACCTGACGGTTCCATTAAGAACATGCTGAACCAGAAATTCCAGGCAAACGCAGACTTGGCTCTACCAAAGCTGTCAGGGGCCGATGTCGATGAAGTGAAGATGCCAGATGGCTCCATCAAGACGTCATTTAAGCCCAAGGCAGGGTTCAAATGGCCTAAGATCAGCCTTCCTTCCCTGCAGATGCCAGACTGGGAGTTTGGATCCCGGGAGAGATCTCCGAGTCCTGAAAAGAAGGTGGAAAGTTCCGATGGTGACTTCCACTTTGGCATGAAGATGCCGTCGTTCGGGTTTGGTAGCAAGGGACCAAAGGTACCCAAATTTGATGGTCTCGATGGGATGCTTGAGTACCTTCTTCCTCAAGCGGATCTCCCGAAACTCAGAATCCGCGACAACACGGAGGTAGACGTCATTGAC